ACACACACACACACACACACACACACACACACACACACACACACACACACACACACACACACACACACACACACACGCGCGCGCGCGTAATAGCATCGTAAATGAATTCGGATCAAGCACTGGATATTTGCTAATTATGCAAGACAAATCAGAGAAAAACAAGACAAGGAAAAACAATTAGAAATATATATTCACGTTTTTCAAAATTGATAGTTTTGTTGCTAAATATTGCAGCGCGCTATTTATATTTAATGCCGTTTCGCGGCCGCTTGCCGCTTACCGATATTAACTTGGCGTGCAGCGTTAGCAGTGCGTGTACCCCCTCCCCCCCCCCACACTCAAAACCCAAGCCAACATGGCGGCTCAGGCGCCTGACAACGTCAAGTCAGCCGACTTACCAGCATGTCTCCCGATAGCACTAGAGGGGACCGGTTTTAACACTAACGTGTGCTTACTCTACGTGTGCTAACCCTAACCCTAACCTCAACCTAAAATCCCAAGAGAGAAGATTTTTCGGCGTCGATTGCTTAATGTTTGTGGTCGCGATCGGTAGCTATCGAAGGGCGTGAGATTGTTTGTTTTATTGTTGAGGGCGTGAGATTGTTTGTTTTATTGTTTTGGTTCGTTGTAATACTATGTTTTTAAAGATGTCTACTGGAGTGAGAACCGTGATTTCATATATAATCGTTATGGAAACGCTCAGCGTTCTCTTATATTACTGCAACTGCTAGGAGGTATTGTGCAGAAGAAAATGAAGGGTGAGTGCTGAAGGAGCGTAAGGAGTGTAGCCGTAGTATCATGAGAAGTGATCATTAGAGAGAGCCTGATACAGAGAGGGCACAGGGGTAGCGAGGAAAAGTCCTTCAAGAAAACATTAGAAAGAGAGGGCACAGAAAAGAGGGTAGTGAGGAGGTATGCGTAGAGAGGAAGGAAGGTTACAGAGGAGGGGGAGGGTACTGAGGAAGGATGAGTGTGTCGGAGACATCCCGATGAGCGGGCTCTAAGGGAAAGACTGTAGAAGGGAGCGGTAGAGGTGAGGGGAGGATTGTGGGATCTATAGTGGAGACCGGTGGGTACTGAGGCGAGGAGAGCTCGAGAAAGGGTTATGTATTATGGATGCGCTCGTGTGATGTATATAGAAGAGGGGAGCGTCTGTCGAACATTACAGGGACAGGCGAATCTAACGAACGATTCTTACATCAGACCGATCGTCCGTGGCTGGGTGGATCAAAGTCTTTCGCAAGTCTTTAATGTATGCGCGCGTGCAGCGGCAGCAAAAACAAAAGCTACAGCAGCAACAACTACAGCAACAGCTGCAGCAGCAGCAACAACAGCAGCAACAGCTGCAGCAGCAGCAACAACAGCAGCAACAACAACAGCGTTAGCAACATCAGCAGCAACAACAACACCACAAACAACAACAACAACAACAACAACAACAACAACAACAACAGCAGCACGACGACGACGACGACCTCCACCCCCACCCCCACCACCACCACCACCATCATCATCAGCAGCAGCAGCAGCAGCAGCAGCAGCAACAGCAGCAGAAACAACAGCAACGGCTGCTTTGAGATGTATTCTCGGCCTCTCCTTGCTACAGTACTCGCTACTACATGTCTCAGTATGCGCTCATCTATCACAGACGTAACTAATGTGATGGCTTCACAGATGCAATTTCATTTTCTCGTTAGAATATTATGTATCTGTGATGCATCGACAATTATCTGCGTGTTATTTCGCCTCGTTTCATATAGTTTATAACGTCGGGGGACATTACCTACTGTATATATTATATGCGCATATATTATTAATTAGAGTATTATAATAGACAGCTGATGTTACTTATTTTGTAATATGTTTATATATATATATATATGTGTGTGTGTGTGTGTGTGTGTGTGTGTGTGTGTGTGTGTGTGTGTGTGTGTGTGTGTGTGTGTGTGTGTGTGTGTTGTGTGTGT